AGCTGTAACAAATGGCTATAGAATAAATAATTAGCAATTCTGTACCTTTTTTAACTACTCCTGTATTCTTAAAAGATGATGAACACATACACACCCTTATAAAATATAATGAAGACACTTGCAGATCTGTAAAGCAGCAAAAATAGTAACATGTCACAAACAGGAAGTTTCAGCATCATGCAGTGTTCTACAAATATATAAGATGGAAATCCCAAATGTCATTCTGAAAAGGAGAAGTATACACTTGCAAAATGATACTTTTTTCATCCTATTGCAAGATTGCAATATACTTGCATGAAGTTAAAGTGACAGTACGTGTTTTGAAATGTTCCTCCAGTGTCACAGCACAATGCAAGAAAGGTGTGGTTAACAGGTACATTATTAGGACATGTAATCTTTGTGTGATGCTATTCACATGCAGTGACACTCGTAAGACTCCTGAAAGAGAAAACACACAAGATACAGGTAGGATAAATTTTATATTTCTTGGTACTCTGTGTAAGAACATATAATTTCTGATCTACTGAGAAATTATATTGAAACTTGATATGTTGGTACTTTGTATTTCTGCAATACTTTGACCTGGCCTTATAAATGAGCCATTGTAGGTCATCACCCTGAATGTATCATGCTGCATACATACCAACTGCACAGATATTAGAAGGATGACTGGACAATTCAACCGACGGGGATATATTTTGCATTTTTAAGAAAGAAAATACACTTAAAATGGACAACAAATACCAGATGTCCAACAGAAAATAAATCAAATAAAATGGTATAACTAGTTTAAAAGCAGTAACTGTAACCTTATAGTAAATATGGATATTCTTAGAAATGCAGAGATAGTTTGTAATCACTATAAAAATATTGTAGTATACAAAGATGGTACAGTTTTACAAAAAGGGTTATAGGTTTACATTCTTTATTCGTAATATTTTTTCTAAATGTGTTTATTTGAGAGTTTATTTGCATATAGTCAAGAAAATGTAAGTATATATTATACACCTGTACACCTAACTGCTCAAATAACTACATTGTGTATGTCTGTAGTTTTCCAATATACTTTTTTAATTCTTAACCAGCATATAGTTTACAAATAATTTAAAGTTTCTTAATAGGGAGGAATACATAATTAAAACTCAGTTTTACCAGTACTACATCAAATTAAGGCCTGGAAATAAGATTCGATTTACTGATATGGAATTTTTCTTTCTTTTTACCATTTTCATGTTTTAATATTATCATACGCAATATGAAAGCAACCGGAAACATTCGAATTACAGACAGGAGTCCTCATTTTAAGATGATCATAAGTACATGGGCCCCTTGTTCTATTAGCCTATGCTTTTATGGCCTTAAGCATTATGTGTGGGCTTCAAAAATAATGGGGTTCTTCTCAAAACATCAGTCTGAAATGATTCAGCTCATCCCAACCCTAAAATTAAAGTGTTGGAATGAAGTGCACCCATTATGGGAACAGTTACATTGTTTCTATCTACCCTCTTATGCTGGCAATGCTTTTCTCATTCACTAAACTGACAGTAAAAATATAAATAAAAAATATAAATCCACTTCTCACTTTTGTTCCGTAATTTTGTATAAAACAAGCTTTGTTAACATTGTTCCTATAAATAATAATGGAATTTGGAGCATAGGAATTTCTCAGAATTTCTGCAAAAAAAAAAAAAAAAATGTTATAAATATTCCATTCTGTCACATGTGTATGTGTGTATGTACATGTATGTGTGTGTGTACAGGTGTCTCTGTTTGTGTGTGTTTGTTGGTGGCGAGTAACTCTTAAGGCCTGGCTAGTAGCCCAGGACTTGAAATTTTAAGCCCTGGACTAAATAGTACTTTGTGTGGGCCTGGAGTGCTTGATAGACGATTCAGGCACACCCATTTTAACATGCATACAATACAGGAACCAAGACATGTTTTGTCTTTCTGACAAAAGTAACTGTAGTTATACAGTAGCTACTTGGACAATGGTACACATGGTTTAAATAACAGCTACACCCTCTGCATCAATTACACATGCAAGTCACAGGTGTCACAAGCCAACCTAAAGAATATAGACAAGATAAAAATTCAATCATTATAACATAATATAAACTATATATGAACGTTATTGTACAGAAAAAAGGTACAGAAAAAAAGTTTACACTCAGCTACTGCAATATTTCTGTGATATTGTAATATTGCAATCCTCTTGTAATACTGTTCAGCATGACAAAACACTTTAAATTGAAAAAAATAACTTGGTCATTATGAAATTGTCTAATGACTAACAAGTTTTAAAACAGGACTAGCATAGTAGCCTTCTCAGCATCACTCATACACCTTGCATCTTGTGCAAGAATTAAAATACATAACTGACGTGGCTCCACAAAAATTTGCATATAGAAAATTTTGTGAAACCTAGAATAACAGTGAGGTATCAAATAAACATTTTCAGGAATGAATGTGCAAGAGTATACTCTGTATTTGTGAAATGAAATTCTAGTGCAACAAGAGCCTGACTAAGAGGTTGAGAAATAAAGGATTAAATATCAGCAGTAACCCAACAAAGACTTTTAACACTCAGTGAGTGCATATTTTAGAAAAATATCCTTGGAGTCTCTACGATAGAAAGACAAACAAGTATCAATTTTCAAGTCCTTATTTACTGTCTAATGTTTGTTGGAACAGTATAAAAAACACACAGTAAGCAACCATATTCAAATGTGGAAATTGATGTTTAGAGGATGAAAGCTTTAATTTCATGGGATAAAATTAAATACTAAAACAACTCTTCTTATAGATAATTTTAGAGATAGAACCCTTTGAAAGAATTAATTCCTGCCTGAATAGCTTGAACACTTCAGTAGTCTGGTTTCTTAGTGTACCTACCTGTAGTATGAACATGTTTTAAAGGAACAAACAGAATATACTGTATAACCAAAAATCCATCATAACAGGGAGCCTACCAGGGAACAGTTTTTTTTTTAAGTAATGGGCCTTGTAAGGCTATACAAACAGCTCTTAGCTAAGCCATCTGACTTGGTGCCACATAGGGATGAGAGAATGCCTGGCAGTGGGCAGTGGGTAACATGACTGCAAAAAAGTGGTGCTATTATTAGATTATGGCAACTCCAGCCTAAGAATACCAGTCAGGTATGTTCCTCTATGTGCTTTTGCTGTGAAAAGTTCTTTTTAGGGCTTGTTCACACTTGACTGTTTTTCCAAATCTTGCCACCCGCCCCTATAGCGTTTGACAAGCGTTGGTCCGGCGTTTGCAGAGCATTTTTAATGCTCCACAAACGCTGCATGTGTGCGGTTTAGTGGTGGTTGCTAGGCGTTTGCCAAGCGATAAAAATGCCCCAAAAAAGGCCTATAATGAAGTTTGAATGGTGTTACCGCTCCGCAAATGCCTCGCAACCGCATCGCAACCAAACCGCAAACGCCCAGAGCGGCACCATAGACTTGAATAGGAGGCTTCAACTCCTCCTGACTCTACCGGAGGCATCCGTTTTGCCACGATGCCATGCAACACAACGCTAACGCTCCCCTTTGAACAGCACTATGTGCTGCAATGTGTAGAATTTTCCCTGGCATTTTAGAAATGGTAAAAAACACTTCCCAAATGCCTGTCTGCTGCCTGCTAACAAGGCTAGTGTGAATGTAGCCTTAGATGCTGTATTGCTGTTTACAATCTTCTCCTAAAAATTTCTCTTGAGCCTATTACATTGACTGTCTGAATTGCATCTAATGTCATCCAGCTCCTTCATCAGTGGCCTGGCCAACTGAGATATACCACATAGAAAGAGTTTGTGTAAAGGTGAATTCTCCCAGAAGTTGCTAGGCATTCCTTGAGCAATGAGCAATTTCTGCCTCTCAGCTAAGTTTACACCAACACCATTGCTCTTTTTAGCTTTTTGTGAGGGGGAATTCTTCCTAATGACTGTAAGGAGCATTCTTCCCACTGAATATAACACTAATGTATCATGAGTTGTAGATATAGTAATTAGGGGTTTCCCGAGCTTGGAAAGTTATTTAAAGGGTTCCGCTGTGTTAAAAAGGTTGATAAAGACTGGGTTAGAACCTCCTTAAGTAGTATGCAGAGTAAACCTATCTTATTTAAATCACACTATACACCTGGTGGTGTTCTCTTTGCTACTGATATGTGATTTGTCACCATGCTAAGATTATTAACGCTCTGTAAGGACTTCAGAAAGAAAGTTGTTGATGCCTATGAGTCTGGAAAGGCCTTAAAATATTGACAAGTGTTTTAAAATAAAAGATTCCTCTGTAAAGAATCAAATCTACAGATTTCAAACAACTGATCATTTTTACAGGACTGTCCAGGCAAGAAAATTCAACCAAAGAGGTGACCATTTGGTGCTTAAAGAAGTCTCCAAAAACCCTAATAGTCCATAGTGGGGTTTTCAGTTAACTTTTGCCACAGTTTGGTCAAAGTGCATGTATCTGTAATCAGAAAGAGATTGCATCAATTAATGTGCATGTGAAGTGCATTAAGAAAAAGCCTTTGCTTAGCATGAAAGTAAGTTTACAATTTGCTATTGGACATAAAGACAACAACCAGGCTTTCTGGAACAATGTGCAGAAAGCTGATGAATCACAGATAAAGTTGACATGACTGTAGACATGTTTGCCACAATCCATATTTTAGGAGGTAAGCCTAATAACAATTGTGAATGTCTGCCCACTAGCAATGTACTGCAGACAGGTGACCACTGTAGGCAAAGCAATATTCCCATATGTTGTTGTCTACTTCCATGTTTTGGGCACACGCATGCGCTCCTTGGCTGGCATCTACTGTGGTTGTACACAGTGGGAGCCTGTCAGCAAGTCCCAGCCAAGGGGTGGACTGACCATTTGAGCACTGCCTGAGGGCCCGGGGTCAGTAGGGGGCCCCATGAAATGCCCCTGGTACCTTTTTATAGGCTTTTTTGGGTGTGTTTTGAGTGTGAACAAGGACACAGGGGCCCCATGTTCACCTATTGCCTGGGGGCCCCATGAGTTGTCAGTCCGCCCCTGGTCCCAGCCAATGATTTAGAGTTGGGACCTGCTGATCAGCTGTGTAAAATCACAGCCCAGAGTTCTGTGTTGACAATCAACACAGAGATCTGTACAGAGGGAACCATCCCAGATGAAGTCATGTGACATCGTGATGATACGTGTGGGCTCATGGTGACACAACTTCCGGCGTGCTGATGCAACTTCCCGTGTGGACGCCATCTTGGAACTCCTATTGAGGTCATTGTATTAGTACACCCACAGCATGTGGATAGGTACTAAAGGCTTGTAATTTCTAGTCAAATGTAAGTGGGATTTGTAACGTTTTTATCCATTTGAGTTATTAAACGGTAATACATTATGGGAGCATTTTGTATTCTCTTTCTGGGCGAATGAGGAGCTAACACTTCGAGGACCACTGAGATGAGGCTGTATGCAGGACCTTGGTTACCAGAGAGGGAATTGATACGGCGGTGGACCTGACATCCATTGGAGGGAGTCCGGGTTCCAGACCTGGTGGTGTTTGATTGTGTTTGATTGTTTAAAGCATTTTGCCCCTGCAGGGTCACCGCATGGAGGTGAGGGGCCATTGCACCTAGAGTGGGATTCATAGCATCCTGTTGCACATTTTGGTGATTACAGGACTACATAACACCTCCACCATTTGGATGGTTCTGGACACTTTCTACAGATTGGACACTTAATTTTTTCACTTTTTAGGACACGATAATTATTATTTTGGGGGTTTGGTTTTTTTGTTTATGTTAGTGGGTTGATTATCCACTGTAGTTATATATATCTTTGTGGATATACAGAAAGTGTGAAGCATTGTTTGAAGTCACTTATTTTCATGCTTATTTAGAACCCCCATCTGGGGTTACGTATCACATCTATAGCCTATTTTTTTTTTTTTTTTTGGTGTTCACCTATTCCCAGTAGGGGGTCACTATTGTTATATAGTGATTGTTAGTGATTTACAAGAATTGAGCCTGATTTTTTCTTTCTTTCTTAATTACCACATTTGTGGTTTCACTGATTCACTTTATTTATCCCATATTGGGATCACTGGCAAGTTATTTTGAGCTTATACATGTGTTTATTCATTTGATTCCTCTTTCTTCTTTTTTCGTAGGTTTACCACAAGGAGTGGTTTCACTGATTCACTTTGTCTTTATCCTCCACTGGGATCACTATTATTTCTTTCACACTAGTTTATCCAGGGCATGTAAAGTTTACATGCGTTTATGTCACTATATTTTTTCACTGGTGTTGTCGTTCAGGAGTTTTCTCAGTTTCACGGCATTTAATGTATGTGTATTAATATTGTGTGTATTTGTGGATTATCTTATTTAGGAGAGGGGGTGGAGAGGTTCTGGGGTTTTTGTCTTATTTGATTTTGTTATCTATTATTGATTTTAAGGGGATATTATTCACCTATTTATTGTATACTAAGTATTGGGGTTCACATATAGTTTATTAGTGCAGCACCACATTTTACAATTTGTGTTGACCATTTTTTTGGTATATGGTTAGGTGTTAGCAGCTTTAGTCACAGGTTCACCTAAGCGCTGGAGGACTTTGAATATAATCTCTGTATTTATCATCCCTGCAAATCATTGACTCCAAATTGGCAAATATCATTGAACATTTGACAGGGGAACCAATATAGCAACCGGTATAATAATTAATATCTTTAACCCTTTCACTGCCAGAGCTGTTTTTTGTGCAAAAAATTATTTTAGACCCTGAAGATTACTTAACACCCACATAATTAGGGGCGGACTGACAACTTATGGGGCCCCTGGGCAATAGGAGATCATGGGGCCCCTGTGTCCTTGCCCAAACTAAAAAAAAGCCTATGAAAAAGGTACCAGGGGCACCTCATGGGGCCCCCTACTGACCCTGGGCCCTCAGGCAGTGCCCGAGTTTCCAAATGGTCAGTCCGCCCCTGCACATAATATTACATATTTTCTAAAGCAAACTAAAAAAAAATGGTGATTTGATGTCACCCGATATTTATCAAGTGCAAACATTCATTAAAGAATGCACTAAAATTAATTTTAGGCCATACAAACAAAACATATTACGCACTTTTTTGTAAAATGTAAAAGATGAAGCTGTGCCAAGCAAATAGATACCCAAAATGTCAAGTCATAAAACTCCATGTACCCGTCAAAGAGCGACAAACTTTGGTTTCCAAAATTTTCTATAGGTGAAGCTTTAGGGCTCATGCACACAGGGCATTTGGAATTCTCCTCTGAATTCCCTTTTACTCCTGGCATGAAAAAGCAGCTTTAAAAATGTGTCTAAAGCCATTTATTTCACATTTATTTAGGCAGGTTTAGGCACATCAAGGTGTTTGATTATTTATGGATTCCATTGGCCAGAAAATGTATTCTATTGGCCAGAATATGAACTTATTCTGACCATTGAAATAAATGAACGCTCAAACATTTTTTTCTGCCTAAAAGCTCCTCTCCTGAATGTATTGGAGATTGTTTTTATTTGCAGCTTCATGTAATCTGTCTGTAAATGTGTATATGTGCATGGACACATAGGTTAACATAGAGGTGCTTTTACAGGCTGAATAAAAAAGGTCAAACACCTGTAAAAAGGACATTATAACCCCTGTGTGTATGAGACATTGAAAGATCATCAGTTTGGAATTACCATAAATAGTACCCCAAGAGTTATTGCCCTGACCCCAGTATGTGCAGTGATATGTCACATGTGTAGCACAATGGATTTTTTCATGCATAGATGCCCCTGATGCATAAGCCTATGTTCACATGTGCTTGTATGTTCACCTAGGTGGGGATAGGGGAACTCAATATTTTTTTGGGGTTTAAGTACTTTGGTGAAACTTTTATTTTTTTTTTATGCTTTTTTCATTAAACTTTATTTTTTATCACATTTTCTGGCCCTCCTAAATTTCCACCCCCTCAGCAGTCTCTGTAAACACTTCCGCAGCTTCTTCAGAGGACTCAAACAACTCCAGAAGAACTGGTTCATATAAAGGAGAAATGTTGACTATTACAATTAGCAGTTTCACAAAGAGCTCCAAATATGTGTAATTGGTCAGCCTTAGCATGGCAATGCATAGTAAAGTCTACCTACAAAAGAGGTTACTTGGCACACTTTGTTACATTTCCAGATTTACGCCATAGCTTGTGTGTGTCATTGGAAATCCGTTTCCAGCACTTTTTGGCAAACCATCATTATTTACATTAAGAGGACATGTGTTTTGGTATATTCCATAACCCTCCATTCTGCAGTTTGAAATGTTAAACATTGTTAGTAATGCAACTAAATCAACATTTTTGTTCTAAACGAGCTGTATGTGAACCGTATCTCTCACTCTTTCCATAGACACCCTCACTATATTGACAAAAGTATTGGAACGCCTGCCTTTACATGCACATGAACTTTAATGGCATCTCAGTCTTAGTCCGCAGGGTTGAATGTTGAGTTGGTCTACCCTTTGCAGCTATAACAGCTTCAACTCTTCTAGGAAGTCTGTCCACAAGGTTTAGAAGTGTGTCTATGGGAATGTTTGACCATTCTTCCAGAAGCGCACTTGTGAGGTCAGGCACTGATGTCAGATGAGAAGGCCTGGCTCGCAGTCTCCACTCTAATTCATCCCAAAGGTGTTCTCTCGGGTTGAGGTCAGGACTCTGTGCAGGCCAGTCAAGTTCCTCCACCCCAAACTCGCTCATCCATGTCTTTATGGACCTTGCTTTGTGCACTGGTATGCAATCATGTTAGAACAGGAAGGGACCATCCCCAAACTGTTCCTACAAAGTTGGGAGCATGAAATTGTCCAAAATGTCTTGGTATGCTGATGCCTTAAGAGTTCCCTTCACTGGAACTAAGGGGCCAAGCCCAAACCATGAGAAACAACCCCACATCATAATCCCCTCCCCCACCAAACTTAACACTTAGCACAATGCAGTCAGGCAAGTGCCATTCTCCTGGCAACTGCCAAACCCAGACAGGTTCATCAGATTGCCAGACAGTGAAGCGTGATTCATCACTCAAGTTAACACACCTCCAGTGCTCTAGAATCCAGTAGCAACCTGCTTTACACCTCTGCATCTGATGCTTTGCATTGCACTTGCAATGTAAGGCTTGGATGTAGATGCTTGGCCATGGAAACCCATTCCATGAAGCTCTCTATGCACTGTTGTTGTGCTAAACTGAAGGCCACATGATGTTTGGAGGTCTCTAACTAGTTGATGACTTCTGTGCACTGAGTATTTCAGCATGCACTGACCCCGCTCTGTCATTTTACATGGCCTACCACTTCAGTTGCTGTTGTTTCTAGTTGCTTCCATTTTTTCTTATAATGGACTTATTGCACAGGCGGCAACATATCATGATGCCACACTTGAATTCACTGAGCTCCTGAGAGCGACCCATTCTTTTCCAAATGTTTGTAGAAGCAGTCTGCATGCCTAGGTGCTTGATTTTATACACCTGTGGCCATGAAGGTGATTGGAACACCTGAATCCAATAGAGGGGTTTCCCAATACTTGACAGGGGAATATTATTAAATATTCATACCAATCCCTGATCATGGGTGTTCGTATGAGACCATGATCTCATTCCTACATCCCTGGCCTTCTGGATGTGGGGATTTGAAGGAACTTTTCAGATTCTGAAAGTGCCACTGCCCCCAGATGTCCAGCTCTCCCAATACATGAAGGAATAAGGAGTACATAGTACTCCTTGTTATTCATTCACATAAAAAAGATATAAATAGTAAATGAAAATTCCAACATCATGATAAAGTCCTTTATTAAAAAAGAAAAATAAACAATATTATTCAATGTAAATCCAACGTCAATCAAGATGAACAATGTCCTGACGCCACTACTCTCACCACTTTTTTTCTACCTCTATTACTGTTGCAAATGATGGCTCCCTAGAAGACTGCTGTATGTCCTGGGATCACAGGTGATGGAAGCAGTGATGGGGGCGGGTCATCGTGATGTTGGATCATCAGGTGGGCAGGGCATAAATAATCTTGAATGATCTTGGATCTACATACTTAGTTATGACTGATGTGATATTTACATAGGGGGGCGTTTTTTTAAAAAATAATTTTTTAATGGTGTTTGTGTTTTGATTTTCCA